AAGGCTCATCTTGCTCTCATTGGAGAGCAAGGCTCATCTGTTCCTTCTTTCATTTCAGTATCTCTTCGCTTTCTTGCATGCTCACTTTGTGTACCCTGCTAGATCCTTCATATATGCCCCCTTATGACACAGACTTCACAGATACATGGATTTTGATCTACTCTCATATGTACAGGGAGCTAGGCAATGTAAAACCCTCAGGAAGAAGGCTGAGTTAATTTTCACGTGAGTTGCAAGGACAGGAAAATTGTACATCAAAACACACGAAAGAAAAATTTTCAGATTTATATATCTATTCTGAATACATACTTCTATGGCTGGAAAATATCCCACTGGATGTCGTGAAATGTGCCAAAGAGCCCGATCAACCCACAACCAGTATTTGGATTGTCCCCTTCAAGACTAAAGAGGTCAGGGCTTCCCTACCACTAGTTTGAACATCAAAGACAAATCCAATTTCATTTTTTGAGTGGGTAACCTCCCTGATGGACTGTGGGAATGTTGTAGATATAATATATCTGGACTTCAGCAAAGCTTTTGACAAAGTGCTCCACAATATGCTGCTCAGCAAACTCGCTCCAAGTGGGCAACTTTCTCCCCTGAATATCTGGATCCCTTACAGCATCAAAATGAGGACAGAGGCACATTTTCAGACTTGCCCCAACCCACCCCGCCTTACTGCTGTCCCCTGACAACCCTTCATTCCCAAGGTGGTTGAACAGCATCTTTTGCACCCCATCGCAGAGAGGGTGCAGGCTCAGCTGTGAGAAGCGCACAGCCTCAGAGTTGTGGTTCTCCTGCAGGGAGAAGGGTCCTCTGTATAGCAGCCCGACAAGGCAGCCTGGCTTGCAGCACCTGGACAGGAAAGCAACCCCACACCGAGCCAGACCCCTGGGCCGCCAGGTGCAATGCTGTCGGCGCCAACGGGCTTTTTCCCTTGCCCCGCCAAGACTCCGCAGTGAAGCGAGGGCCCGAGATGAGCTTCTGGTGTCCAACCTGCCGTTGCGCCAAGGCCTCCCGCCAGCCCACCTCACAGGGCTGTTTTGAGGGCCGCTAGGGGTTAGACGCAAGTCCACGGAGTCCCCCCACCCCTGCAAGCTTCTGGTCTCGAGCTGCCGCCAGCTCTCCCCTTCCGGAGCAATGTGGCCCATGCGCACGCCTGTTCGAGCGCCCAACTTTTGGCCCCTCTAGGAAGCCGAGTCGCGCACTTTAACCCTTGCAGGGCAGAGGCGCTGCCCGGAATGGTATTCCCCGCGGAGAATACAGAGAACGGTAGTCCGGGAGATCCGCTTCCTCTGTAGTCCGCTTCCTCTGTGAATCTGGCAAATCCCTTTTTAAATTAACCCTAACCCTAAATAAACCTTTTCTTGATGCCTTGTTTTTTAGACCTGTTCTTGGGGTTATTTGGGGCATTGATTCAGAAGACTGCAGTAGGTTTTTGAAAAGTTCTTGCTGATCAACTTGTTCTTCTGTTTCCTAGTTTGTGTTTTTGCCTACAAGTTAGCAGATATAGTGTTTACCTACTTCCAACTGTAATTTTACATGGGAAACACTAGATTCTAAAGGGTAATTATTAATTATATTATATTTATGATCATATAGGAGGTGTGTGCATATTTATTTATTTATTTATTTATTAAAAGCTTTTACAGACCATCCCATTGCTAATGTCTCTGGGCAGTTTAAAACAAGCACGGATAAAAATGACACAGCATCCAGCATCTCATATTCCCACTCATATGCTATATCTCAAAAACTGATAGGGGAAAATCGATGCCATTTTTGGAATCAGTGGGTCAAATATACCCAGAAACAAGTCTAACTTTCAAGGCACCAAAATCTGTGTTGGTCAGTAAATTCCTTCTTTAAAAATGAAAGTTATTAATAGTCATGTACTTTTATTATTGCTGAAATGCATACATCTTCTCACTGGTCAGATGGGGTAGTTTACAAACTCCAAGAAATGCAACATGGATTGCATTAAAATGTAACAGCAAATTCATCTCATAAATTCTCCTACCATCCAAATTAGCCTTAATAACTACTTCTTCTTGCTCCTGCTTCTTAAAAAAAAGTCTCAACAACAGCTAGGTGTCATCAGTTTTATTGGGCCAGACTTCTCAACATCCCTATTTTTTTCAGAAAAAGATGGCATTTCATAACTTACAGCCACTTAGAAATGTTATTGGGCAACCAGGGTAAGGGGCTGCTGGCAGAATATTGGAGACTTCAATCCCCTCCCCCCCTTACAAGATGACAGCTCAGATTTGACAGGGTCCAAACTGCCTTCTCCTTGCCAAGGAAAGTCCTAGGAAAAGCCCTTCTGGCACAGTGATCCCCTGCTTTACTTGGTCCTAGTGCTCCTCTCTCTTAAAAGTGTCCCCCCGGCCGCTACTCTTAGAACTGGATGGGGTTTCCACTGACAGAAGAGAATCTTGACACAGGCAAAGTTTCAAGTATCATGTGTCCCAGCAACCTCCACCCATCCCATGTTGCTGCTCACCACAGCGATGCTGACTCGAAGGAAAATAGGAAGATGAAGGGAGTGTTGGATCTTCTGAGCACCACATCCTTTTAGACAGGAATTCTACCAGCCCTGTTTACATGCAGGGGATCGATTGTGGGAAATTTTGCCAGCAAAGGGTGTGCTCTGCCACGGAGACACAGCCTGGCCCCAGATCCCCCTGTGCATTGCATTAAAGCGGGTGGGGGGGATATGAGGCTTCCCCACTCAGTCCTAGCAGCACATCTCACAGCTTTGTCCTGAGGATGGCTAAGATGCAAACCTTGCTTGGGTATTTTGCTGGCACCAAAAGGGACTACAAATATTTTATTTATGTATTCAATTGATATTCCACCTGTTTTCTTTTCAAGAACTCTTCTTCTTCCTTCTCTTTCTCCTCCTATATTTTTATTTTATACTGATAATTTTAATTTTATATTTGTTAATCAATGTATTTTTTGTATTTTTATATTTAATGGTAATTTATTCTGTACTATTGTATTTCAATGTATTTTATCAGGTTGTAAGCCGCCCCGAGGTTTCGGCAAGGGGCGGCATAGAAATGTTATAATAATAATAATAATAATAATATAATAACAACAACAACAACAACTCAGAGTAACATTTATCATTCTCCCCCTGCTGCTCTCAGGCTTATCCCCCAAAACAACTACCCTATGAGGTAGGCTGAGCTGGGAGTCTGTGACTACCCCAAAGTGCAGCACCCGCACCTACAAGATCCACGGGGAGCAGATCCATTTATGAGCAAGATCCGCAGGGACCCATTTCTCTTCCCCCAGCAGCAGTGGGTCCAGCCAAACTCTCACACAGACGCCTGCAGAAGCCCCTTCTCCCCAGCCAGCAGCAAGTCCAGAGAAAGAGGCACGTTTGTTTCATTTATTTTCCTTTATTTCCTCCAGCTTCTGCCTTGGGACACGAAGAGAAGTCAGCTCAGATCCCACCACAGTCTCCTGCCCAGCTTGCGGCTCCCTTCGGGCTCAGGCACTACAAGGCAAGCACGGTCCCCACTCCCTCCTCCCCAGTGAGACCCCCTTCTCATTCTGCACGACTGTCGGAGCCTGGGCGAAGATTCGGGCGAGGCACTTCCAGACCCGAGGCAGTTGGGGGGCATCTGTGCCCCCCCACCACAAGCCCCCCCCCCGCCCCCAATACATCCCGGGTGTCTCCACCCGGAGAAGGGCTGCGGAGGGGGCGTCGCGAGGCTCCCCCTGGGTCTGAGCAGCCAGCCCCCTCCAGCACCCCCATGGGAGTCCCAGGCAGGTGGGGGGGCTCCGTCATCCCTTCCCGCCCCCTCCCTACCCAAAGCTTGAAGCGACCTCCCCAGTCAGAGCTGCGAGGCCAGAGCGGCACTGTCATGGTCTCTCTAGGCGACGGCACTCACTCCCTTTAACCCTCGCAGGACCGGGTGGGCGGAGCGGCTCCTGGAAGCGCCTTCTCGGGGAAGGACGGGGAAAGCTCTGCGCACGGAGAAGGACCTTACCTTGCCCTTTTGTTTCAAGCACTGTTCAGGACAGTGGCCCAGGTTTAAGTTTCTGGCACAGTTTGGCGCCTTGCCCTTCAACCAACCTACCTGGTCAAAGTTCATCCCCAGAAGAGCCTTCCGGGTGGTGGCGCCATTTCTGCGGAATTCCTACTTCTGGACAGTGCTGATTCTAGTGCATTGCATGCAGTTTCTCAGGGTTCCCCTCTCCCCAGCTGCCCAAGGAACCCAGAAACATGGCGGGGGTACAGTCCCTCCTTCCTGCTCATGTCCTGCAGCAGCTGCAGTGCAGGGGGGCTGGTTCTGATACTGGAGGTGGCAAAGACTCCTAGCCTGGATCGCCTTCTTCTCCCTCAATTTGGCCACTCCTTCTGAAAGCCGTCCAAAGGGTTGACCTGCCCTACGTCTCATGGAAGTGAAAGCCACTATATAAGGGAGGCCATCCTTTCCTCCCTGCTGCTGACAAGAAGGCAGCCATTGCCAAAAGGGAGCAGTCAGACTCTCAGAAACAACAAACTGGGCAAGTCAGAAGGGGCCTCCTGAGTCATTTGGTCTGAACCCTGCCTCCAGCCAGCTCCACTCATGACACGCCTACCATGTGCATGTCGTGTAGGTTTTGTCCTTGTAGTTTTGTTGCTTTTCATTGTTTCAACTGGCTTTACAATTTTGTAGGTTAAGAGCTTTGAGTAGTGAGAGGTGCAGAAGTGTGTACTGATTCCCACTGGCATTCTAGAAATGCTAACTGTGGCATGTTTACAATCCCCTTACAGGAGCTTCTCCTGAACGATTCTGCAGCTTAGGAATTTGGCCATTAATTATCATCTTTTAAATGCTGGTTTCAAATATTTTCGAAAAATTTAACCAATGCGCTTTTGCATTTTTCTGAGGACTGTGTTTATGATTTTCTAAACAGCTTCAAGATATTTTTAGATATAAATTGCATGAACACTAAGTAAAACAAAGGATTCACTTTAATAGCAATCCTGAGACACTTGGTGAATGCAAATTGTTTTATTCAAATTAATGGTATTTTACATAGCTCGCCCTCCAAACATTCAAGGCATTCACTGAGACAGTTTCACTATGTATGTTTCTTTTGCCACCATCCTTTTAACAGCCTGCTAATATTTCATAGACAATGGACAAGAGTACTTTTCATGTCAACAGAGTTCCCTAATCTGAAACTGGCAAGGATAGGGCACCCAAGAGATGTCCCAGGGATGTTGAATATATTTCAGCCTTAGGGGAAAAAAACCCAATTTTGGAGAAGTGAGGCGATGGGGGCCGACACAACAGTGGCAGGGGAAGTGAAAGGAAAAGTGCTGCAGGGAAAACACCACCATCGTTTGCTCAAAGTTCTTTCAGTAACCAAGTTTTTGGAGAGAAGATTAATGTTATGAGCCAAGGTTCCTCAGGGCAGTCAAACGCCACAGACTATTTTCTTTGCAAAACCTTCTTTATTGCTCCCAAGGACAAGTTGCCTAGAACGGACCTCTGAGCATGCAGAGAACGGTTTGTTGAACCAAATCTAGTGTTTACCTCCAGGAACTCTCCTTGTGAACATGCCTGAGCCCCAGCCCCTCAGGAGGGGCTTTCTGTAAGCAAACACGCCTCTTCCAGTTAGGACCCCGAGGGTGTGGAATGGGCTTTCACAGTAGGTAGTTGAGGCCCCCTTGGTAAGGGTGTTCAAGGACAGGTTGGACATGCACATGGTGGGCATGTCGTGAGCGGAGCCGGCTGGAGCTGGGGGTCAGACTAGATGGCCCAGGAGACCACCTTCTGACTCGCTCTATGTTTCTCCGTGAGCCTCTCATTCAATTGGCCCTCCTGCTCCTGCTGGTGCCGCATCATGGGATCAAGAGCAGGGGGACCTGCATCTGAGAACTCCTCATCCTCAGAGACCCCTCCCACTGGCTGCAAAATTGGCCATTCCTGGAAACTGCCTGACCTTGAGATAATCACCCCCTCCATCTCAGAACCTGGACCTAGTCTATCCTCCCCAATTTCACCGTAAGATGTTTCCCATGCCAATTCTGAATCATTGTCTGGAATGCAGCCAGCAGTCCATAAGAATGATTGCCCAAGACCATCATCCTTCTTACTCCCAACACTTAACCTTTTAAAATGTGGAAACCTATAGGAAAGCTGGGAAACTATAAAACCATGCGTGGTCAGGAACGGGCAGAGCTAGGGAAGTGGCACTGCCTTCTCTGGAACACCAGAGTGCCTAACTGCACTAGACTAGATTAAAATGAAAATACACTGACAATAAAATCCAGACTATAAAACTAATAAACATGCCAATGCAGCATAACATACAAAAATCACATTTCAGGGCTAGAAAATACAGCACCCTGTAGAGGAACAAGCCCAGAAGTGCTTTTTTGTTCAAGCTATTTCTACAGACAATACATTTCTAACACTAAGCTTAAAAATGCAAATAACATGACAATTTAAGCAAGAAAACACACATAGATGAACTGGGCTTCATAGTTTTAAATTATCCAGAATTCTCTGGAAGAAATTAATTGCCTATATCTACAACACAGATACAAAAATGGAAGCTTTGCCTACTCTGCAAGCATTATTGAAGTGTTTTTCCATATGCTCCACCTTTACTTTCTCCACCAAAAGAGTGCTTTCATGTTTACTAAGGCATCTCCTATTATTAAAGTTTGTCCACTGTTCCATGCATCCAAATCACTTGTCCCCAGAGTGGGTTCTCTCATGTAAGGTAAGATGATGATTACGCTTGAAACACTTTCCACATTTCATGCATTTATACGGTTTCTCCCCAGTATGGATTCTTTGATGTACATTAAGATTTCCACGTACACTGAAGCTCTTTCCACATTCCAAGCATTGATAAGGCTTCTCCCCAGTGTGGATTCTTTTATGTAAAGTAAGATGATAATATTGCCCAAAGCTCTTTCCACATTCCATGCATTTATATGGCTTTTCCATAGTGTGAGTTCTTTGATGTACAGTAAGATTAGAATACTGACTGAAGCTCTTTCCACACTCCATGCAGGTATATGGTTTCTCCCCGGTGTGGGTTCTGTGATGTTTGGTAAGACTTCCACATAAACTAAAGCTCTTTCCACATTCCATACATTTAAATGGCTTCTCTCCAGTGTGGATTCTTTCATGTTGACTAAGATGTCTGTTATCACTGAAGCTCTTTCCACATTCCATGCATCTAAATGGCTTCTCTCCTCTGTGGATTTTTTGATGTTTAGTGAGACTGCCACCTAAACTGAATCTCTTTCCACATTCCATACATTTAAATGGCTTCTCCCCAGTGTGTGTTCTATGGTGTTGAATAAGATATCCACTATCACTGAAGCTCTTTCCACATTCCATGCACTTATATGGCTTCTCCCCTGTGTGAACACTTTGATGTTTTGTAAGACTTCCATTCTCACTGAAGCTCTTTCCACATTCCAGGCATTCAAATGGCTTCTCCCCCGTGTGGGTTCTGTCATGTTTAGTAAGACTTCCTCTACAACTGAACCTCTTTCCACACTCCTCACATTTATATGGCTTCTCTCCAGTGTGTATTCTCTGATGTTTAGTAAGATTACCTTTATCTCTGAAGGTTTTTCCACATTCCATGCAGGTATACGGCTTCTCTCCTGTATGGGTTCTTTGATGTTTAGTAAGACTTCTACTTTCACTGAAGCTCTTTCCACATTCCATGCATCTATATGGCTTCTCCATGCTGTGGGTTCTTTGATGCACTGTAAGATTAGCACTCTGACTAAAGCACTTACCACATTCTATGCATTTATATGGTTTTTCTCCTGTATGAATCCTTTGATGTAAAGTAAGACTACTGTTCTGACTAAAGCTCTTTCCACATTCCAAGCATGAATATGGTTTCTCCCCAGTGTGTGTTCTCTGATGTTGAGTAAGATGTCCACTATTACTGAAGGTCTTTCCACAGTCCATGCATTTATATGGTTTCTCCTCCATGTGGGTTCTTAGATGTTTAGTGAGACTCAAACTTTTACTGAATATTTTTCCACATTCTATACATGTATGTGGCATCTTCCCAGTGTGGGTTCTTGATTTAATTTAAGACAATTTCCTTTGTCACCGTTGTGGGTTCTGGAATGTTTATTTTTTATTCACCTTTTAATTAATGGTTGGATTAGGAATATGATCAATAAATAAATGTTAATATTTTACCGCATAGGGAAACATTTACCCTTTTCTTTCTTATGTCACTTTACAGAATCTTGAGCTCATGTTTTTTCCTCTTATTCTTTACTTGATTTCCATCATGTTTTTCTCATTCCTTTGTGTTCTAAAATGACTCTCTTCTGACTTCACCCTCAGTTGTTTCTGTTGAAAGGACAGTAAAAATGTATTGAATAAGTCTATAAATCATTTTAAACAGAGTAAAAACATATTAAAAGCAGAACCACACAAACTTTCAGAAAAAATACAGATGCAAGCAAGTCCAGAACTAAGGTAATAATTTTAATTAATTTTATTAAAAGATTAAAGTTCTTTAAAAAGAAAAAAATATATACCTTTTAATAAAATTAGGTTTTGTGAGCCCACCTGAACCCTACATAAGTTTAAAAAAAACCCCACATATACACAAAAAACAACCCATTACATTGAACTGTTAATAGTTCATTTAATCAGGCATTTTCCTTGTTTATTTCCTTAAACTGGCTCCCTCAACTGCAAAAAGGGCAACCCTCCAAGTCACAAGCTGATTGGATCCTTTAAAGAGAAAATCCAGTTTACCCTTGACCTTATATGATATCTTATATGATAAAGAAACCAAGACAGATAATGTTCCCTGCAGCTGATGTATAATTTGCATTCCCATGAATAGAGAGTTAGATTGTTCACTTGCGACACACCACAAATGCAAAGTCTAGAATGCACTGATGTACTCAGAAATCTGCCTTGTTGCACCAGACAGATGGATCTGTGTAATTCCTGTTGTTGTTGCATGCCATCAAGTAGTCTCCACCTTGTGGAAACCTCCAGAATGTCCTACCCATGACAGTCTTGCTGTCCTCCTGTAAATTCAAGGCTGTGGCTTCCTTGATGGAATCAATCCATCTCATATTTGGACTTCTTCTGCCTCTGACTTTCCCTAGCATGACGGTCTTCTCCAGGGAGGTGTCATTCCTACTCTCCTGCCAGTTCCCTGCTTGGAAAGAAAGACGAAATGAAACTCCCATTAGGAGTTAAAAGCTGAGGCAGATGATTTCAGTGGAGATCAAGTCTCCTTTCCTTCCTCTTTTATTTCAACCACTTCAACATTATCCCTTCTCCACTCCGGATGGCCTGGTGAAACTTTTTCATGGGCTGCTTGTTGTGAGGGACACATGCTTGATGTCAGGAGATGCATGAAGGAGACGTGTGTCATCCTTGCTATACAATTTTAAAGAAAAAGTTACCCACAACCTGACATCATTTTTATGAATTAAAAATCCGTGTGGCCACAAGAATAGCACCAACATGTGTAAAGCTGCAGGGAAGCAACAGCTCACATGTCCGAAGTCACAAGCTGTCCTCCGCTTGCAAAGGAAATCCTTTTTTGTGGTGTGATCCCCTGCTTTCTTTGGGGAACATCAGGTGTCCCTAGGGGCTCCCAACTTTAAAAGTTTCCCTTGCCTATCAGCAGCAGAGAGAACCATCAAAACTGGATCGGCTTTCCCACTGACAGAAATGAGACTCAACGTGGACACCTCATACAAACTGTTGCATGTAGCCAGCACTTTGAATCACTCCCCCCCACCACCACCACCCAGCCCACTGTGCTGCTGATTTGGGGGTACACTGAAGAAACAAGGGGACTGTTGGGGCTTCCAATCATCCCAAGTACCTTGGGAGTTATGCTGGAAAGGAGGAAGGAAATGAAGGAGCAATTCCCTGGGATGCCTCCAAGAGCACAGAGGAAAGGCCAATGGGGGTTGGCTGTGCCCAGTTGTCTCTCAGGACCCCTTGCAAAGGACCCACACTGAGTGACAGGGGGGCTGTTATATGCAAAGCCACCCAATGGACTGGGGTCGTATAATGTGATCAGCCATGGTAGAGTCAAAGATCATGTGATCCTGGGATGAACTTTTCAGGGGACTGATTTGAATCTGTTAGCATTTGTAGGAAGTTGGCAGTGCTTTCCCCACCCTCACCATGATTGCAAGCTGCTTTGGGCTGCTACATGAAGATGTTGAAAGCTCTCCTTCACGATCTGCACCTTGACACATACAAGCATCCCTTTAAAGTACCACTGCGGTATTTGGAGGGGCTCCTCAGGGTTGCAGTCTTTTAAAAATTGGCAACTCATTATTTTGGAATTAATTCCAACTTTTTCAAATATTTCTTACTCTGCATATTAGCTCCCCAGGGTTCCCCACTGCTACACCTGCGTAACTGTGATCATCTGCAGTTGAGGAGGGCCAGCAATAAATATTAGTCTCCCTGCACCCATTTTTTTTAAAAATCACATGAACTGTGAATGTCCGGGAGTGCCAAAAACATTTTAACAAAAATCTTGGCCAACCACAGGCTGTCCCTCTAATGCATCCCTGGAGGACCCTGAAGCTTAACAGCCACTTTGCCCAATCCCAGGGAAAAAAACATTTAGTGCAGAAATACCCACAGCAAGCCTGAAACAGGTTGCAATCAACTGGGGGGGGGGGGGCGGAATCCAGGCAGTCAGGAGAGAGGAAACAAGTCAAAGTGAGCCTGATCATCTGTAGAAGAAGCCCATCATGAGCACAGGGCCCCAGCTAGCAAGGCTTATTGCAAAAGCAGCACCCCCCCACCACCACCACTAGAGGCTTCCCTGCTGCAGGCCATTTTAACCTTGCTGCAGCTTAGGATTCGCTTCCGATTCATTTTACAGAGCAAGCTTTAGCAGTCCTCCCCTGGACCATGGGGAAAGCTCTAACAAAGTGTGTGTGTGTGGGGGGGGGTGACAGGGATTAGCACCAGGAAATGATACCTCAGCTCAGCCAAAGGGTGACTCAGGTGAGCAGTTGCTCTTAAAAAAATGGAGCTTGATCTGCCACATTTGCTTTGCAAAAGAATTGTTGTTGCTAGCTGCCATCCAATCCATCGCGACCCCATGGACAACGTTCCTCCAGACCTTCCTGTCCTCCACCATCCCCCTGAGTCGACTTAAGCTCACGCTGACTGCTTCAGTGACTCCATCCGGCCACCTCATCCTCTGCTGTCCCCTTCTTCTTTTGCAGTCAGAAGGCCAGATACTGAAGATGAAACTAATACTTTGGCCACCTAATGAGAAAGGACTCACTGGAGAAGAGCCTAATGCTGGGAACAATTGATGGCAAACAGAGTACTGAGGTGTAAAGCAGCCCACTTGGGAGTCTCCAGCTCCAGGCCTTTCAATTGCCCATCGGTCTCCCTGGCCAATATTGGGCAGGGAATTTTCATGCCAGCTTTTCTGCCCACCTCCTGACACAGTTTTCCTATTCTGTTTTGAAAAATTATCTACCCAGAGATATTCACTTCTATGTACAGCATGCCAGTAAGCTAGCAAAGTGAAGCTGGATTGCTCGTGTGTACACATTTGTGTATACTTTGCAGGACTGAAGATTCCATATGATTCAAGCACTGCATGTCACTGCCTTCCCACTTGATCATTTTGATGTCTTGCAAGACCCAGAGTAAGGGAAAAGGCATATTCTTTCAGACTACTCCCCTCACACCCCACTGCAAACTGTCTCCCAGATTCCTCCATGACCTGAGGTGCCTGCATGGCACCTCTTTGGACTCCATCACAAAGAAGACAAGATCCAGATCATGGCATCATGCTGCTACCTGTGCAGACAACAAACAGGTATAAACCGGGCCCTCTCTTAGACCCCGATGGCTATCACCACCATACTCTTATCCTGCAAGGAGTAGTGGTGCACATGGTCCTCCCTTCATCTTCATCACAGCTCAACAGGGTAGGTTGGCCTCAGGAAGGAAGAACCTAAGACAGATGCCCTGGTGCAATACTGCTAGCAGGGCCTATGAGCACTTTGCACAGGAATGTTAGTTCCCAGCACTAACTCAGGAAGCAAACCTGAAACCTTTCACATTCCAAGTGTGGCGCTCAGTCACCCAGGGAGCTCTGGGACAGGAAGAATATCTGACACTGTGTTTCTCTAGTATAAGCTGAGCAGTCAAAACACTACAGTATAAAGGGTGTCATATTGGTCTACCTCACAGAGTTCTGTGAGGTGGCCAAGAGAAAGAGGAAAGCACAAAAGGCTCAGCATTAAGTCCTGCAGGAGAAGTGTGTTCTAACTGGGGGCAACAGGACTATCGAGTTTGCTTTCTCCAATCTGTGCCCTGAGCCTCAAACTTGGAAGATAAACACAGTCTCCCTGCTTCCTAATCACATCCCCCTTGAGAGAGGGTGGCAGAAAGATTCTGCAACTGAACAATGCAAGGGATGGAAGCACTTCACAGAATCAGGGGCTGCCATGGGGCCCATCTCCTCTGTGGTGGTCTCCTCCCCACTCCTCCACTACTGCAAACACATCCCCCATCTGGAGGACACTGGGTTATAAGAAGTTGCTTAAGGCAAGGGAGACTGAACCCTTTCCATGACTGGTAGTAAACCCAGTCCTTTTAAGGCTATGGGACCAGACAACCATTGTAGCATCTATCTTTTTCCAGATTAATTTTTAAGCATCTAATTCACATATGCAGCCATCCAATATGCAAACCCTACACAAGCTTAGGAAGTCTAGACTGCAAAGAGCTGGGGGGGGGGGCGTAGACACTGTCAGACCTCAGCCTGATAATCTCTTGTCCCAAATCTCCAAGGCATCGTTTCAGTGGCATTACGATGTGAACTGGGATGGAAACACTTCACAGATTCACGTGGTGGCATAAGGCCCGTCCCCTCCGTGGTGGGTGGGGAACCAGAGGTCTCTTCCCCGCTCCTCTGCTACTGCAAACACATCCCCCACCCCTGCCCCCTCTTGCACAGGACCGGTGCGGGTCTTTTCGGGTACAGAAAATACGAGACAGCCTTCCTCAAGCGCTGGGGCGCCTAAGCACCACTGTGATGCCTCCTCCCGCCGTAAGACCCCATTCCCACGACCACGGAGTCTGGGTGGAGCTGGAGAAATTCTGCAGCAGAAGGAATACAACGGGGAGGGGTATTCGCAGTCAGGCGTTGCTATTGGGCCCTGTCCCCCTGCAATGGGTGGACGGAGACCGATCCCGCTCCCCTCCCCAGCCCCATGCAAGGCCCCCTCTTCTGCCCCAAGGCGCTCCCCAACAATATAGCCTGGGACAGCTCCATCCCCGAAGGGGGCTCCCCAGAAGGACATCCCGGGGGCCTCCTCGTCGGAGCTGCTCGGTCAAACCCCCAGACCCCCACCCCCACTGCCCGGGAGGGTGGGGACTCCTTCCGCCGCTTCCCCGCCCCCCACAAGCCCCACACGTGCCCAGCCCCCACCTCTTCGCCCCCTACCCCAGCAGGGACGCCTCCACGACACACCCCGACCCCTCAGAGGCCGATCTTACTCCCGGGCTCCGCCAGGCCAGAGCGTCCCCTCCACGCTTCCGCCCACAAAACTTCCGACCCCTCTAGGCAGAAATGCTCACTCCCTTTAACCCTCGCAGGGCCGAGGGGACCGAGGCCGCGCTCTGCCCTGCCTGCTTGGAAACGACATTGCTGAAGTGGATGCATGACTAATACCCCAAACGAATAACAATTGCGATATCAATAATAATATTAATAATTATTCATGAGTACTAGGCACTATTCTCGATTAACGAATTTATTACATTTTTAGTAAGCCCATTCGCCACAAGGCCAATGAAAAGTAATATTAATATTAGCATTGATATCAATCCTATCTTCAATAATAGCGGTAACATTAACGTTTGCGTGTTTCGGATTTGCTGCGACCTCCAGAGGAGACCTCCCAAGCACGGCCGCCCCCGCACCGCTGAAGGGGCCAGCCCAGCCCGGGGGCGCCACACTTAGGAGACGGTTCCGGCAGGGCTACGCGGCCTGGGGCGGTCCCGGTTTCCGCAAGGAGGGCGCCTGTGCGCGCCGCCCGAGCGCTCCGGGGTGGTCCGCACGGCCGGGGCGCCTTCCCTCGTCTTTCCGGGAAGGGGGTCGTTTCGCGCGCTCACACGCAGCAAGGAGGACCCGCGTCCCGGATCAGGGTTTCTGCGCGGGATTGGCGCGTGGCGTTGGTCGACCGGTCGGGGAAGCAGATGTGCCCCGGCACTGGATGGCGATCTGGGATGCTCCTGCTCAAAACCACGAGAATCCTTGCGAGTTTTTTCTTCTTCTTCTTGCATCGCGCTTTCTCCTTTTCGAAGAAATTGCTTTGCCGTCTCTTCAGCCAGCAAAGGCTGCCTGATTCTCACAGCGTGATCTGGGCCAGTCACTGTCACTAAGCCTAACTTCCCTCACAAGATTGTTGTGACGATAGAAAGGACAAAAAGGATCAGGTACATCACCTTGAGCCTTTTACAGGTTATAAAGGCAGAATATAAAATATTATTGTGCTCCATTTCTTTCCTGCCTTGACATGCACATGGTGGGCATGTTGTAAGCAGAGCCAGCTGGAGCCAGGGGTCAGACTAGATGGCCCTGGAGGCCCCTTCTGACTCGCTATGTTTCTATGTTTCTATATTTCCTATTGCAAGGGACCTGAAGCGACACTTCTCCAGTTTATTCTCACAACAACAGTCCTGTGAAGTAGGTTAGCCTGAAAGCGAGGGACTGGCCCAAAGCCACCCAGGAAACTTCATGACTGACCGGGGCAGGAAGCCAGATCTCCTAGGCCCCAGCCCAACACTCTCAGCACCGCACCAAGCCTGCAAGATGGCTTGAATCAACAATATGTTTCCATTCCAGGAGAGGCAGCATGTAGCCAGGACTAGTGGGCATGAATTGGCTTACCTCCACAGGGACAACTGAAAAAACTCTGTCAGGCCCTAGGAACAGATTTTGAGAGTGCACCTCAAGAGAACACGTGAAAGGCACCCCAGCCTATCCATATTCTCTCACTCTGGCTCAATATTCACGTGAAAAAAAATCCTCTTTCTGCACCGGGTGCCTGCAAAAACTCCACTTTGTGACAAAGGGCCTGCATGCATTTGTTAAAGCATTATCTTGCAATAATTATCTAGCAGCTCCTTATTTTTTCTGTTCTAAACAACCCAAGAGCCAAAGCTTTCTGGGGGAGTTAAAACAGTTCACAGAACTCTAACCCAAACCCTGCTTGCTGAGGGATGACAAATTTATCGAATCACCAGAGTTTAGTTGCAGCAAGTCATATGGAGAATGACCAGCATAACCTGGTCAAACAGAAGAGTCAGTAGTTTGAAGGTCTGGATGGGGGATGCTCTTGGAATTTACTACATTGATTCCTCCTTTACGCACTCTCCAGCTGAGATCTGACTTTTTAAAGAGTCTTTTTTTGTCTCCTTCAATGATGGGGTAAAGCTACAAATTTGGCTTTCACTAGGACCATTCCATTTCTCACCCTGATTATGTATTTTCAAAAGGAGAAGATTGTGGCCAACACTACCAATTTTGCTTTTTAATTTACTTTTAAATCAAGGGCTATCTGTTAAAGCATAAAGTGGTTTAAAAAACACAGACTGGTTAGAAGCAAAGGCAGGCCAAAGTAAAAATACCAAGCACTTTCTGCAAACTACATTTGTTTACAATGAACAGTAAAAACAACCATAAAGTACAATAAGAAATCATGAAATCAAAGTAACATTAAACAGTTAAAACACTTAAAGCATGCAGATTATCAAATGTAAGGATGTTTCACTGGAGACCAAGGCCAAGGTTGTTTACTGTATTCCTGGTCACTATGTACAGGTGTGAAAGTTGGACAGTGAAGAAAGCTAAGTGGAAGGAAATTGATGCAATCAAGACATGGTGTTAGAAGAGAGATTTGTAAGGATGGGGGGTGGGGCTGTCATAATTTGGGCACATCATCAGAAGTTAGAACTTCTTGGAGAAGACAATTGCACAAGAGAAAATCAAGGGCAGAGGAAGAACAGGGAAAGCAAATATATGAGTGGAAGCCAAAGGGTTAAATTCACAAGAGCTGAGTAGGGCTGTCCGAGATTGGGCGTTTTGAAGGGCTTTCAGGCACAGAGACACCATAACTCAGAAATGACTTGATGGCACCTAACAACAGTAATTACTGCTTCTGTATCATTTGATTAGCCTGGGACCCAGCAAATGCTCCAGAATCCATTGTAAATATGATTTATGCTCTCCACTGGAGGCTGTGGTTCTAGTTCAGATATTGCTGGTATTAATTTCTTCCCCATCTCTGATAGTATCAGATGTCATCCTTAGATTTGATCGGGAGATACCCCTCATATTGAGATCAAGCCTCACCAGAATTAGACCCACTCCCCAGGTAATGCAGCTTTCATGGGTTGTTAACTCCAATTCTCATTCTGAAATGGATTTGGATTCACAGCAGAAATGCCAAGGTCAGCAGACCCAGAGATAATCCAGGTGGCCCTGGAGAACCAGACTGCAGAGAAAACTGGATTTTTGCAGAGAAAACTGAGGTGGGTGGGGGTGGACTTATTATCATTACTCCAATTATAAGGCTCCAGGTTAAGAGTGTGCACCAATTCAGAAATGTCAGGTTCCAGAGGATAGGCTCATAAGCCGCAGGAACCTCCCTGAAGGTGGAGTAGGTTCTTTTTGGTTGAGAAGGGAGGAGAAGAATTCAATTTGGAATCAACTTGGTGGTCACATTTGCTAATGGCCAGTATTCTTGCTTGGCTTGTGTCTTTGGTTACTGATGTCTGCAATACTCTTCCTGAAGGAGACTGTCACATGACTGTGTTATCTCCATCCATGTACAGTTTCCACCCTTCGGCTTTAGTCCTCCTGCTGATGGCACATATCCCATCAGCCTCTGCACCTGAAATTTAATTCCTGAGTGCACTACTCCTGTCTACATCACCTGCCTCTTCCTCATTGGTGCACACATAGAGGCTGAATGACTGAGGTTGCTCCTGAATGCATAACTTTATTTTGGTCATAGACCAGTAAAAGGAGAGTCTCCTGCAATTGCCACTCTTTCCACCAGACTCCATGATCACCCTGTGGAAGCCATGTTTCCGGGTTCAGATGACCAAATAAGCCATGGTGAGGCACATAAACCATACACTGGATCACTGCTTCTCTCTGTTATTCCACAGAGATCACATGTATCACACAGTAAACCCACAACAGGGTTCAGATAACACAAATGACCATTCCACTGTGAAAAGCACTGTGTTTTGCTGTTGTGTGTGAACCCAGCCACTATCTACTCTGACAGGTAGCCATTCCCAAAGCCCAGACAATGGGAGAGTCAGGATGGACAGAAGGAATGACCTCTTCGTACAGCACATGATTCAGCTGCAGAATTTGCTACCATTAGCAAACCAACAACATATGACACTCTATGATCAAAACTAGAATGTTATTGTATGGGAATGACACATCAGTAACAAGGCTAGGATCACCATGGGAGACAATGGGAGCAGGAGTCATTGTTTCACAAAGGGAAAAAATGTACATTCAGTGATGCAATGGTTTTGTCATTGACTTAAGTGATGGCCAGTTTAAAAATGGTGATGCATTTGGTACCAGGAATGCAGAAAGGCTGCAGGGATACAGATGATTTACACGGCATCATCTGCAAATATTTCAGGCTGGATTCAGGAAGTGCTTTCTGGAAGCGGGACCTGATCTGGGGGGACTGCCCTGCGTCCACATCACAGCTCTCCACATCCAGCAGGCCTCTTGACTCAGTGTCAACATTTTCAGGGACATTTGCACAAATCTTGCTGAGTGTGAGGCAAGTTGTCTACACAAGCCTTTTGAAGCAGTATTTGAGCACTTCTTTTATGCAACACTGGACTCACTTCCAGCCAAAAGCCTGCAAGGAAACTGCAAGTCTGGCAGCAGGCAGAGAGAAAGCAGGATGGAATCTGGGGAGCCAACCCAAGTGAATCTCACAGATCCCTAGCCCCCAAACTAGATTCATCAAGCATCTCCACCAGTAAGAATCCCAAAACGTTCCTCCGAGACTCAGCACTGCCAATATCTAAATGCAGAATTCATGGGTTTCTCTCATTTGCAGATTTCCTCTTGGCTTCACTCACTTTCTAAGACATGGCCAAGCACAAATGAAAGTCCATAAAAAGTGCAGAGGCACCTTTTCCTGGGAGCTTCATCTCCACACAAGACCAGAGTCCATTTGCTGTTCATTCCACAGTGCTCCAGCTATGGAATGTGCTCCCTAGAGAGGTCCTCCTGGTGCTTTTATTATATACTTTTCAGCATCAGGTTAACACCTTTTTATTCACACAATATTTTTTGTTTGAAAGATTTAAATTATTTTTTTATTTCAGTTGTGGGTTATTAATTTTCTCTTTGTTGGTGTATTTATGAACCCCCAAAGCCCAGCCATACATTCCAATTGGCCATGAAGTCAACTGGATGAACCTCTAAATTCG